ATAGTTCCAGATTCAAGAAACTCTGCTTACTGCAGTTTTTGAGTTAAACTTTAACCTCATTATCTCTACACGACAGCTATTTTTTTTTTTTAGGTCCACTTCCCTTTCCATTGACTTTTCAGCTGCCCACTCTGCCCGCCGAGCAGTACCACCTCTGGGGGAACCTTCACACAATTTCTCTTTACATATTGTTGTTTCATTCATCTTTAACGCGTTGCCATTTTATTTATATTTCATGTTGTTTACAACCCAAGAGCAGTAGTTGCCATATGCCACTTGAACCACTCAGTGCTTTTATTTGCACTGATCACTTCTATGTTTAAACCCTCAGTTTGACTAGTTATTATCCTTTCATATTCCTCTTACTCCACTAGATGGAATGCACTTCATTACATTTAACTACGTTACATGTTATGTCTGTTACTTTAAACTATTTATGTCCCTTACCTGTTGATCCTCACTTTTTCTTTCCCTTCTATCCCAAACTCCCTTTCTCCATTTTGACCTGGGATAACTCTTTTCTTCCCTCATACATACCTCTTTAATAGATAAACTGTGCCTGACATTTTCTTCACTCAACACTACAGGATTCAACCCACCCAAAAAAATCAACCCAATTCTAAAAAAACTAATTTTGCAAAGATATAATGCCAAATGTAAGAAACACATATTTTACATTCCCATATATGGGTAAATCATGAGCATACAAACATGAAACTGGTTTCCCCACTTTTGTCCCCTTTTCATCATTATGTGACCCATTTACCGAACCAAAAGCCTAAAATCTGGAAAATGTCCAGGTTGCTTCCTGGTGGCTTCCCTTCCTGGTTCTGTAATACATTTACTTCCCAGTTAAACTTTATCATAACCTGCACCTTCAATTCCATCAACATGGCTCACCTTTCCCCCTTGGCAAATTCTCTCTGGAACATTTGCATCTTAACTAAACCTGGCAAGGACTCCTTTTTGTAGGAGTTACAGACCCATTTATCTTTTAAACCTGGGCCTCCAGATCTTCTCCAAAATCTTGGCATTCATACATCTTCTCTTACCTAATCTAATACGTAAAGAACAAGTGGACTTTGTAGCTGGCTGTGAAGCCCAAGACACCACTAAAGAATTCTACTTAATTTCATATATACAGACACACAACCTTTAGGCCTCCTTCCTCTAGTTTGATGCAAAAAAAGCATTAAAAAGAGTCAGCAGGAACTTCTTTCTCTTTTCAACAAATAGGCATGAGCCCTGACATCATCTACATATGTCCCTTTATGATGTCTCCTTATGTTCCTGTATTCCTCCCCTGTGTTGAAATCCTGACCACTAAACCACAGTGCTGGCCACAGAAAAAAAGACTACAATATACTCCCTAGGTGGTAAAGAGACCAGTGTCACTACACTGTATCTTTACAGCCACCTGACCACCTGAGACGAAAGATAGACCTATCTCCACATTTGGTGGGTCTGACACCTGATCCACACATTACTTCTAATCTCCTTTAAAAATTACCTTCTGCTTGTCACGGTGTACTCTATTGTTATGGGTCAATACCGTCAATGACATCATATGTATGAAGGAACGTTTAGCTCTTGATGATTCTCTAGATCATTTTTGGGCCCCGAAGAGCAATATAGATACAATATGGATACATTCTAGTTTCTTCTCACTTAAATAGACTTTACTATAACTACTTCCTCTACAAACCACTCTAGGAATGATTCATTCCTGAGTGTACTCTATAATAACATCTGGAACAGTTATGGAGATCTACTTTTTGACCTATGGGATTAGGAAATGAATTCCTTTGTAGTAGGCAGTGGGTAACAGTCCGGTAATATTGCTTTGTTTACCAGGCAAAGGTAAGCACCTAGCTGAATTTGTCAAGGGCTTGTACTGTAGCAATGTATAAAGAATCTGCTCCCAGGATTGAGAAAATCCTATAGCTTTTCTGAATGAGTTAAGCAGCAATGCCCTCTGTCTCCCAGGTGAGGCCTCATCCAGACCATATGCTAGTAAGTAGATTGAAAAGCATTTATGCCAGAGATTACAGGGCACTGCCATTTTTCCTGAATGCTGCAGAAATTTCTCTGGAATATGCACCCAGGGTTCAAGTGTCCTCATTGCCATTGTTGTGTGCAGACTGTGAACAGGTCACAATCTTTATTAAACACACAAATGGCTTGCTCCAACTCCTCCTACTATCTCTGACAGCTGACAGCTTAAAGTAGAAATGCCATAACAGTTTCTTTAAATGGCAATACACAGAATGTAACACAGAGGTCATGCTCCAAGCATCATCTCTGTCATGGAGTGTATCACATAAGCCTCTGGAAGTGCTGGGATTTTGACTTTCCTCCTGGTAGCTAAACAGAACATCAGGGAAGCGACAGTAGGAACAGCTGGCAGGGCCATTATCACACATCATCCTGCTCTGGGTACAATTGAATGATAACAACCTTTTGGATAAGTTCCTTCCATGTTATTTTATGTTTTTATTTTAGTATAAACTTGCTACTGCTAGAATGCGTTATTGTCCAAGTCAGGGCTTAAAATTTCAAGTCCTGAGCTACTAGCCAGGCCTTAAGAGTTACTCGCCACCAACAAACACACACAAACAGAGACACCTGTACACACACACACACACACACACACACATACACACACAGAAACATGTACACACATAGAGACACATGTACACAAACACACACACATACAGACACATGTATAAACACACAGGCACATACAGACACGCATACACACAGATACATGTACACACGCACAGACACATGTACATACATACACAGACACATGTACATACATACACAGACACATGTACACACATACGTACATACACACAAACACACAGACACATGTACATACATGTACATACATGCAGACACATGTACATTTTTCACACATGTACATACACACAGATACATGTACATGCATACACAGACACACACAAACACACACACACACACACACACACCCCTGTAGAAAGTTGCAGTACTTCGTTGTTCACTCACAGAGCCGGGTACTGCACTCTAGGGGGAGGCAGAGAGCACAGCACACACTCCTTTCTTTGCTTTCACTGCGCTCAGCTATTGAGCAGTCTGACGGCTCCCAATGACAGATCCAGCCTGAGCTTTGAGCCTGCTCAGCAAGACAGCCCTGGGGGACACACTCACCCCCACCATAATTTCCACTCACCATTGGAGAGCAGGTGAGTGGAAATTTCAAGGCCTAGTCCAAGTACTCTGTCTACATTATATGCTATTTTTCAACTTTACAGAGTACCAACAAGAGAAGGGAATAATGGTGTCATGTTTCATGAACTATAAAGAGCCTACAACATTCTTTACACAGTTCTTCCCTCAATTTAACCACTACTGTCCAGTGGGACTGGAAAAGGGGAAGAAAAACAATTATCAAAATCAGTATGTTTTAAGTCTAGGTGCTGTCCCCTTTATTCCTTGCTGACCTAGCCACTGGTTCAAAAATTTTACCATGAAAATAACAAACCTTTCAGCTGGTTGGTTGCCATTAATATGAACTTGTTGCTTTGCCCTGTGTAAGCAAATTACAGGTTTGTGTTAAGAAATAGCATTTCTCCTTTAATTATAATTCAAGGTCTTCCTGCGCTATGAGAGTGAAAGTATAAAACCTATTGACTAGCTGCCAGCACTCTAAACTGATACCAATCCACAGTGTCAATAAATCATAAAACAGTGCAGCGCTCTAAGAATTAGATAATAATAAATCAATAAAATAAAATAAATATGAATAAAATAATAGTGCCAAAAGACATAAAAAATTAGTGCCAAACCATAATAGAAACAAAGACAAGGTGTCAAACCATAAAAATAAATGGTGTGTACACAATTGATAATAATAAATCACACTCCAAAAGAAACCATCCAATGTAAGAAAACTTAGCAGTGCTCACATAGTGCCACAAAAAATGAACATGAATAAATGCATCCAAAGCAATGTCCTTATAGTGAAAAAATACCATAAATCTTAGCAGTGCTCACATAGTGCCACAAAAAAATAAACATGAATAAATGTATCCAAAGCAATATCCTTATAGTGAAAAAATGGCATAAATCTTAGCAGTGCTCACATAGTGCATCAAAAAAATTTTTTTTATAAATAAACGTATCCAGACCAATGTCCTTTTAGTGAAAAAATGACAATAAATCATGCGACGTGCAATAGTGATATTAAATGCAACACGTGACTGTGCCAAACTCCTCCTCGTGAGCAGCTAAATTGCCTCCTCACCTCCTCCTACTGACCCCTGGGGGCCAACAGGCTTGCAGGATCACCCTGGATCCTTTAATAGATCATGGTCAGCAGCTTCCTTCCTTCCCTGGATCTCCTTAGAGGGGCTCCTATTTCCCCTATTCAGCCAGGGCGGTCCTGAAGAGTAATAGCTCACAATCCAGTGAGCCACACAAAAAAAGCCTCTAAGTGCAGTATTCAATTAACTCGGTTTTATTTTAAAGAGTAAAAAAGGTTTCACTCACATTACAGACAATCTCCCTCCTCACTGATGTGTGGGTGTACTGCATGCAGGAACATTGACTTTATTTGCTTCTTTACTTATCCAATTGCGTTCTTTTCTCCAGTGAGAATGCATTTAATTTTTTTTTTTTTTTCTAAAGTGAAAGAACAGTCTCATAAGTTCTACGTATACACTTCTATAAGAGGATTTTACAGTCAAGTAAAGTTGGAGCTTGAAGTGTACCTGCAACACATATTGGACTTATAAGCAGGGACATTTCAGGTGTAAGCACAGTTTGTTTTTCCTAGAGTTCCCTGGAAGCCCCAATCTCAGGGTAGTCTATCATGGAAGTTCTGAGAACAGACCAAAAAAGACTAAACACTGGTCCATCCCTTTCACCCAACAACTCCATGTTGATCAGTAGATGTGAAGGGTGGTTTCAGTGAACCATGTGGGGGTTCTAAGCAAGGAATGCCTGTTACTACACTCTAGACTGTGCATGTGAGCACAATCAGAACTGAACAAGCTGCTACCAAGAGTTCCAAGAGACTGCAACTTACTTGTTGCTGGTGGAAACACATTCCCTTCAACACAGTTTCATCTTTTTTATTTTATTTTTTTTTTAATTTCTTAAATTTTTTGATTTTTAAAAAATCTGATACAAAACTACAAAAAAAATCCTATCTATAAAAGACAAAGCAACAACAAATTGTACTGCACCAGAGAATTATTGTCAGGGTAAGAGAAGATGCATTACCCCTGTAGACCTCACACAAACTAGAGAGCTATACATTCTAGGCAACATATTGCAATCATGCAGAGAAGGTACCATCACAGAGCAAACATTAAGCCCCCCCCCCCCCCCCAACATGAAGCCATCAGTGGGAAACTTGGGGAAATTCAATGTAGTTTGGAAGAGGGAATGTTTAGAGAAGGACCCTAGGACCTCTGAATCAGGATACAGGAGGAAGTCAAGTAACAATTACAGTATTGGGGTACTCAAGCCACGGGGACAGTATTTTATAAAATATGGAAGGGAATACTTTGCTTTTTTACATGGACACCAGTCATCTTTAAATGATAGATTCTTGTATTATCCTTTTAGCTGTCTGAGCTGATTGTGAACATAGCCAGTGAGCTTTCTAGCTGGTCTTTTTATTGCTGAGAGGGAAGTAAAGTAGAACTAAAGGCAAAGCTGTTTTCATTTTGGATAGAGTTAAGGTGGGAATACGCGATTATAAAATCGACCGATCGGTCATCCGACAACCGAGAGGCATTTGTTCGTTGGTCGAAATTGTGGCCCACATTAACCATTCTTAAAAAATCGTTCATTGGGCAATACGTAGTGTTGACGTCTTCCGTACAAGTGGAAGTGATGCAGTGTGCATGTGACCTTGTAGCCACGCCCAGAACGACAATTACCAGCAATGAGTATAATATAGCTTATTACATTCCCTATAGACATAAATAGTGATACATAAAATATAATATGCATCATTCTGGTTTCATTATCTCATTAGGCCAATCTACTTTTAATATTTGGATTTTTCGTTCGTGTTTATGAAGATTCCTTGGACATAAACATCCGGGTCATCTTCTGTTTCCGCTCATGCGTGGTAGCGCTTGATAGATTTTATTCGTACGACCGTCATACCACGGCATAGAAAATCGGTTTGTTCGTATGCATAGAATATCGGTTTGTTCCTATGCAAAACAACATTTTTCACTGTTGTTCAACCAGATTTTTTCATGCACAATATCATTATCAGTTAAACATCCTGCTCATCAACGAAGAGAAAATTGTTCGATCAGTGGTTCCACAAAATTTTTCTTACGATTTTGTTATTGTGTCTACAATATAAGTCAGTTTCTTTCCCATTTGTGTCCCCTTGTGGTGATGTCCCTGCAGTTCCTGTCCCAAAACATTACATGACATGTCACCAGAACTAGTGACCCAAATAGAAGGATTCTTGTTCTGGTGACAACCCAACATTTGAGATTTTATTTTCCCTTTACTCTCAGTAATAATGGTATATTGCAGAGATCAATAAAGACCTGACAGGTATTCTAATTTCTCTCCACTCTATCAGAAACCAAATAAAGTTTTTCATTTAATTATGCAACGTACCTACATTTTCATAAACATTTTATACGTTATTCATACTTAATACCAATTTTATATAATCATATTATACATATATGCATATGTTTGAAATGTTGTTCAGAGAGCCTGAGAGCAATGTAAAATAACGGAGATGCTGGGGATCCATAAGGACTGGACTTTTTTTTTTTTTTTTTTACAGAGTTTAATTTTAAAAGCTAAATGATGTTGGTTAAACTGATGCAGCAGGAAAGAATAGAAACTCTATTACTTTCAGGTAGGTATCAGACCACGTTCTAGGAACTCTTTGCTGCTATACTCAAAACAACAACTCTCGCCAACTAATGGATGACAGGTAGGCTTAGATTCTACACTACAAATACTGGAAAAGTGAATAAAGCTCTTTGAAATTAAAAGGCGACACAGGTGTCTGGAATGGAAGGAAAATTCAGATAATAGATAAAGGCTGGAATAACATTATTAGTTTCATGTGATTGCTGTGCCACACCCTCCAGCTTTCAGCCTAATATATGTATTCAGTAGCTTAACATACTTGTAATATTATATCCCAATCCCAATCTGTCTACGTATCGGTTTCAACCACCTTATTACAGTATAGTGCACGTTAAACAAAAACTGGTCATTACTTCAAGATCTTGTTTCGTGTTCTGCCTGTGTATGTGCTTAGTAAGGAGTGAGGATATAAGGATCTCTGTCAGCTGCAGCTGTACCTACGTTGCCCTCAGTTGCCCTCACTTCTATTCACTAACAAGAGCTGTGCAATGAATATTGTAATATGAGGTTAAAGTATAACTTAGGGTCCTTTCACACAGGCGTTCCGTTTTTTTTCATCAGTTCAGTCAAGTTTTTTTCAAAGAAACAACAGGTGAGTTTAGATCCGTTTTTTCATCCGTTTTTGGTCCGTTAATACCCCGTGCACATCAAGCCTGACTTTGAAGTCGCACGATTTCAAAGCCTGATGACATGCCGATTTCAGGTGTGGGGAAGAGGCCCTTGTCCCCATCAACATGGGGACAAGGTGCTTTGGGGGGGAGCCCAAAAGCACCCCCCCATGTTGAAGGCATGTGGCCTGGTATGGTTCAGGAGGGGGGGTGCTCACTTGTCCCCCCCCCCTTTCCTGACCTGCCAGGCTGCATACAATCCGTTGACATCCGTTTTTTGTCCGTTCTGGTTTTTTTTGCGGAAGAAAAATAGGGTTTTCTTCCATTCAAAAAAAACGGATGTTAACGGTTGCAGACATTACCCGATGTAAATGAATGATCATCCATTTACATCAGCTAGTCCATAGAAATACATGGATGTCTGTTTTGCATCCGTAAACGGACAGATGAAAAACGGACATACGGAACGTCCGTGTGAAAGAGGCCTAAAGGTAGCACTTGTTTTAGATTGAGAGTGAATTTAAAAGTTTGAGTTGCCATCAGAGCAGGAATAGAGGGGAAATCTTCCAATGGGGACAGTTGCTCCATTAAGGATTGCATCCCTATGGGAAAGTTCCATATATAGATATATTGATTAGACAGAGAAAGAAAAGGCTAGGTGTATGGTTGGAATTTCATAGAATTAGGCAATCATGGTCAAGCAGCATAAAGTTTACTATTCTCAAAAGTTAGCTATAATACTTGACTTAAATAGGGCAATCTTTTACAGATTTGGCCATACACACGCACTTTGAGAACAAAGGGAAATAATCGTAAATCCACACTTGTGTTTATGCATATATTTGTGTGAAGAATTACTCTGGGCCAGACTGTTAAAAGCAAACTTGTCACAAAATAAGTATGTTCACTTCCATTGCTGACCTCATTTAAAAGCCTAGTACACATGATCAGAAAATTGTATGAAAAATACTGATTTCGAAGCGATCGTACGCAGGGGCGGACTGACAACTCATGGGGCCCCTGGGCAATAGGGGATCATGGGGCCCCTGTGTCCTTGCCCAAACTCAAAAAAGCCTATGAAAAAGGTACCAGGGGCATCTCATGGGGCCCCCTACTGACCCTGGGCCCTTGGGCAGTGCCCAAGTTTCCAAATGGTCAGTCCGCCCCTGATCGTACGGTAATCTGATCATTAGTACACAGCTTTCGTCTGAAATTATATGAAGGGACAAGCACGAAAATATTTCTCCTATGATAACAGATCATACGATATTTGTTTAATCAGTACAGTTTTTGTCTGAAAATACAATACAAATACATTACGCCCTGGTTGACATACTGTTTATGCAGCCGTACGGGCCACGTTTTGGCAGCCACGAGAGCCCATTCATTTGAATGGACTCCTGTGCCCCGTGACGCGCAGAGAAGAAGTCCCTGCACTTCTGAAAATGCAGCCCACATGGGAACCTCAGTTCCCAGTACGGTTGCATTTTCCAGTGTGGGTGGCATGCCATTAGAACTAATGGCACCCACCCGCGGGTCCGCATTCCTCTGTGCGGATGGTGCGGCTGGATGGATTTTCATGCGGATCGGCAGCGGCACCACCCGCACATATGTGAACCAGGGCTACATCAATTGTGAATTTTCTTTCTGTCGTACAAGAATTTTGGTAACTTTAGTAACCTCTTCACTTTTGCTATGAGACTAGCATGCAAAAAAAACCCCCAAAAAAACAAGATCATTCATCCAATATTCTCATCATGTGTATTGGGCTTAAAAGTATTGGTTGCTTGGTTGTTATGCCTGCAACCAGGAGGAAATGTGCAGTCTAAGGCTGACCATATACGAGTCATTTTCTTTCCTTCAACTCACTGGTTGAATGACAAAAAAATAATTGATTCCCCCATCTACACACTTGATGTGGATGGAGCAATCACTCCCACTGTGCTTTTGTATTCTGAATTCCCTGCCATCAGAATTCACTCATCAGCACTGCTGGCTATAACCGGTGGCACTAATTGAGAGACAGGCTGGTTGTACACAAGTTGATCGGTAGATCGACTTGTGTACAACCAGCCTGTCCATACATGGATTGAAATTTGGTAGGTCCCTGCTGAACTGGCATAATTTCGGTCCATGTATGGCCAGCTTCAGAAAATCAGAAAAAAATTCAGACGAGAACAGCAATGCTATGTTTTGTTAATGCAAGTTCACCATCAAACACATTGTATTCAAGTTATTAGAAGAGTAACAAGCAGCTAGTTTTAATTTGTATGGAAGTGCACCGCTAAAGCAATATTGGTGCGATCCTTTCCTGACACAAGGGCTGTAACAAAGGAAACTGCCAGAGTGGGAATACTAGCAAAAGTGCATAGAGATTGGGTGGGGGGGGGGGTAATGTAAATGTAAATTCCACTAATTTAAAATATACTACTATTTAAAAAAGATCAATCATTCTAGGTGACATTAGTAAGAGGATTCCTGATTAGTTTTCACTGTGAAGAAATGAATATTACTGGCTGCAACCTTGTCATCTGAAAAAGTACTGTCTTCTATCACACAAAGCCCCTCACTGTCATTGCCATTTTTAATAAATCAGCCCTTAATTGTAGCACAAAAAAAAC